AAGCTGCCCAAAGTAACGAGATTAGCTGCGGTTTATTGATCTGTTGTGTTGTTAGGCAGTTTCCTTTGAGGCAAACCTGCCGCATCTCAACCTAAAATCTCCTAAAAGCTGCCCAAAGTAACGAGATTATCTGCGGTTTATTGATCTGTTGTGTTGTGATTGTCAGACCCCGGTAGAGGACGTCCCTTTGGCCATTGCTCCATTCCAGGGACGCATCCTGGTGGGAGTTGGGAAACTGCTGAGAATCTACGACCTGGGCAAAAAGAAGCTGCTTCGCAAGTGTGAAAACAAGGTAAGAAAAGGACCCAAATACAGACGTATCTGTGCGCCTAACGTAGCCCCACGCTCCATGAGCTTTAACAGCTTTCCCCAATAGTCTGCTTTTAAATCATCCTTTTTGCCACTATGAACATAGGTCTTAAATTGCATTTAATATGGGCTTAAAAAGTCTTACATTTAACCAATGGAAACCTTTAGAAACCCTGTTTAAACCCCCGAGTTCAGTCCAGTTTGGTTATTTTGGGTAAACTGATAATATTAACATACCATAGTCTGACCCAAAGCACATGACTGCTGTAGTGATACATTACGTTATGTAAGTGACCAGCCTTGAGGTAAAGTCCTTCGAAGCAACCTGGTTCAGGGTAATTATGGCCAAATAATTAGCTTTCTCAATCGTGAATCTACCTGTATTAATCACATTTATCTTAAAGACATAAAGTGATAAACTGAGCTCAAGTACAGGTAAATGCAGTATATAGGATTAAAGTTGATCTTTGCCTCTTTGAAAACTAAATGAACCATTGATTCATTGTCTGCAGGCAACCTCAGTTTGTTTGCCAATAGATTTCAATAGAGATGAATCTAGATTGTTTCTGGCTTCCTGTGAAGACAAAGATGTTGTTTTTATCTGACAGTGCACGACATCAGCGGCTTAAATCAGTTGAATTGTTTACTTCGGTAATATGTCTCCTGCTCTTTCACCTCTGTCTTTGTAGATCAGATATAATTCTGAAGTACGTCTGCTTAAAATGAATCACATCAAAGGTGCACGGTCTTATAAGGACAAGTGCCTGCTTTTAGAATGAACAACTTTCTCCAAGGATCGTTGTAATAACTGACTGTTGTCAACCGGGTTATGTCACTGATAGTTGCCAGAACATGCACATAACACGAGTTTCTGAGCACTAGTTGTGCCGAAGAGCAATGTTTTAATGAGTTTTCAACGACTTTCTATATTATTTGTATCTTGTCGTGTTTATACCTAATTTTCTCAATTTCGGAGTGTTGTTATGCAACAGTGGGTGGTGAAAATGTGCTGTTTAAAAAAAGTAGCTATAGCGATGTTCAGTAGGTACCACATACACAAACGTGTGTAGTTGGGAATAGTAATTTTCTAAATAGTTCAGGACCTGCTCTGTGAAAAGTGTCCTGAGGTAACTTAGGTTAATTTGGCGCTATACACATAAAATTTAATTAAATAGAGTTGGAACACAGTTCACACCAGCTGAGGACCTACATCCCACATTTCTTATGTCCTTCCAAAACTACAAAGTCTGTAACTGAATCAATTTTAATGATAGAGGCAAAAGGAACAATACACATTGCTGCACTAGATCGCCTCATGTTTCCCTGTGTTTTCCTCCACAGCAAAGTTATTATAGTTTTGTATTTTTCATTTAGTTTTGTTTTCAGCTTAGTTTCCAAAGTGGGTTTGTTATTTTCAGTTTAGTTTCTATTGTTTAAAAACGTTTTTATTAGTTTCAATATTTTTTAAATTATTATAACAAGGAGGGCATTTGGCAGGGGCAGGATTTAAGAAGTTCAGGATCTGTAGAGTTACAAATCAAACTCATTGACTGACAGTCATGTAGACATCCCAGTCTCAATAAAACATGCACCAGTGCCTCCTCACGCCTGTCGGTTGGAAAATTTGGTCAAAAACTACAGACATTTTCTGTGTATTTGTATTTGATTCTAGTTACGTTTGTAAGTATAAAATATATTTTCACTAAAATGCTTTTTCACACCTGGTTTTAGTTAACGGTAAGAACCTGGATACACCGTATACACGTGTCATGTCTTTTGATTATTGCTCTCCTCTTCAGCACGTTCCCAACCTGGTATCCAGCATCCATACCATCGGCCAGCGTGTGATAGTTACTGACGTTCAGGAGAGCCTGTTCTGGGTTCGTTACAGACGCAACGAGAACCAGCTCATCATCTTCGCTGATGACACGTATCCCCGCTGGGTGACCACGGCCTGTCTGCTCGACTACGACACCATGGCCTCCGCTGACAAGTTTGGCAACATCAGCATTGTGAGTATGGGGACGAGGAGTGTCTTCTGTGTGTGTGTATGACTTGTATTGAATGGCAACGATTAGTGTATGAGGCATCAGATTAGGCACAAGTGCCTCTTTGTGGCATTAGACCCAAAAACCTCTAAGGAAAACATAACATAAACTGTCTAGGACTAACAAAATAAAGAAATACACGTCTTCATTTTGTGTTTAATCTTCTCAGGTGCGTCTGCCCCCCAACACTAGCGATGATGTGGATGAAGACCCCACAGGGAACAAAGCTTTATGGGACAGAGGCCTCCTTAATGGAGCATCACAGAAGGTAAAACCATCTTTCTCAAACCCATTTAAGGTTTCTTAAAGCAACAGTTCACACTTCATTTTGTTCCTTCTTGTTTCTCTGTTAAAAAATATGCAATCTTTAACATACTGTAGGTACAGGTATCTGAATTAAATGCAAATACAAGATTTTTGTTTTCTATTTCACTGGTCACGCCAGCAGGTGTTTTAGAGGTCTTCAACTTTAAATAAGCCTGACATTAGTTCAGATATTAAATTAGTAAGGGTACAAAGCATACAGAATACATACCTGTGTTTCCCATTCACAGTCTTACTTTGGTGGGCTGTCCAGGTATATTAATGGCCACCCAAGTACACTTGGTGATCCATCTTTCTGAGAGAACGACACCATGCGCCATTGATTTCCTTTCCTTTCCTTGTGTTTAACCTACATATGAGAGATAGAATTGAACCAGGTAAAGCAACAGTGAACACACCTGGTTTTGTAAACCACGTTGGTCTCGATCAATTGGATATGATACGTCATTAACAGCCAGCCTCCTCCACATGTCTGCTGTTGTGAATCACTGGTGAAAAAGTTGTTTTTTTTATGGGTGACTTTGTAAACCATGCTGAGCGTAGAGCCACTGAGCCAACGGCAGTATTTGACAAGTTGGGACTGAAAGCAGCGGGGCAAGACGGTGTGTGAGTGGAAAAGAGAAAAGTAAGGTGAGAATATAAATAACGAAAAATAAATCTTACATTTTAGGTCCTGTACAAGTTCGACCTTGAACAGCCAATAAATCATGAGATAAGACCAGCAGTGTCTTAATTGCACACCTCAACCTTCACGTGTGCATTTTTTTTTAAAGTCTGACCTCTCCCACGTATGTGCAAAACAGAGAGTGACGGTAATGCAGAGAGAGCAGAAGTCAGTCGCCTCAGGCATCCAGATGTGTTTCAGGAAGAGACGCTGTGTTTTCTGTCAACTGCTTGCAGGGCAACTTTAAATGATTCATGCCGGCTACGGCCAGAATGTCAGGCCTGTGCCGGACTCAGGCCTGATTCACTGATCTGCCTGTTCTGACCTCCAACCGCCAACATGCACACACACCATCAACCACAAGTTTAACCTACTCACAAATGCAAGTGTGTACACACACAGTCACACAGATTGGAGAAACACACACAGTATCACTCATCCCATATTTAAATTCTGGTCAAAAACTGTTTAGGTAGCAGATAGACTGGGAAAGTCCCTCCAATTTAGACATTATGAGTTGGTCCCAGTTGTCTGTGTGACAGTGTTTGTCAGCTATTTCTGCCTCCGTGCACATTGATTGAGAATTTCAAGTTTGGAAATGTACCGTGTCTGTTTTTAGATGTGGGTGTGGATGCCTGGATTTATCCTTGTCCAAAATGTTCAAAGTGTGTGTGTGTGTGTGTGTGTGTGTGTTTGCATCTGGCTGGATGAACTTAATTAACCATACATGGCTCGGCTGTCTTACATTAAATTAGATGCATTCCACTTTGATTGGATTAATGTATCTGAAAAGATCAAGGTCAGGGAGTCACAGCTGTCTGTCGAGCCAAATAAAAGGTTTGACTGTCTTAACCCCAAATGTCAGATAGAGTGAGAGGGTGATTTCTGTCATGTTGTTTATAACAGTCGCTTTCATTTTTTAAAAGTTTTTTTGACATAATAAAATTCACATTTATACAGCTGAGGTCAAGGTTTCATATGAACCACACAGTAATTCTCATGCGTACTTGGGGATAATTGATACCTCATCTCAAAAATATGTTTATTTGATATTTATGTCCCCTAAAATGTCAGACATTGGCTTTTCTGACTTGTGTCTGTACAAAGTTACTCTACTGAAGGGGGATAAACAACATTAACAAATAAAAGACACTTAACTGCACTTTCCTTTCTGATTCTCTGCTAGTGGCATTTGGTGCAGGGTTTTTTTTCTCTGATTGATTGATTGAGGAAAACTTCTATTACAGAATTATTCACCTTTTTGGCTTCTTTCATAAGTTTATTGCAGTTTTTCTGAAAACAAGTCTTTCAGCTCTTATATACTTTTTTACCACAATAAGTTAAACCGATCTATATTCTTAAATATGCACAAAGAATAGAGCAATGTATGACACTACTGTCGTCACACCAAACAACAGTTGCATTCTTCTTAGTTTTAAATTCCTCACGTTTTCCCCTGCAGACACTTGTGGTCTTTGTGGCTACATTACTGTTTTGGATAGTGTTCTCCTCACACTCCTCCTTATAACTAAACAGCATTATAATGAAGTTCTGTAGTGCTGCTGACACAGAACATATTTTAAAAATGTTTTTAATAGAACACAATAAACCTGTATAGTTATTTATGTACCTGCACATATACAGCCGGTCAGGAATATGTTTAGAGCATTGTTTGCATTGGCGTCTGGGGGAATGTAAACTGCAAACAACAAAATGTTTCCTCTTCTGGGAAACATTGTCCATAAACTCGGACTACGTTTGAGCACCAAGCATCATTGACGTGAACACAGTCAACCTCCCCTCATCTTGCGGCAGTCTCGCCTTCTGTCACAGAGCACCACTCGCCCGTCCAGTGCGAAGTTTGATCCTGTTTGTTGTGATGGAACCGGGTCATTTTCCTGCAACGGGACATTAGCCAGGAGTAGGCTGGGTAGTGGAGTAGCCATAAATTGAAGCTCTATTGGATTAACACTTATCCCAGCTCTCTCCCCCTCTTCCTGGGGCAGTGGCACCCCTTGTGTTATTTGGTCCAGTTGATCAGGCTGGGTGGTCGAAGATGTTGTGAACTATGATCGTCTCAAGGTCATATGCACTTTCAATTCAATTCCTGCACTTTTTTACCAATGCCGAGTCTTTTATTGTCATAGGTATTAGTACTTTGGTAAGAAATCTGAAAAAAATTACAAGAGAAGTTTGAGGAATCTACTGGCTGCCACATCTGCATGCACCACCATCACCATGGTAAACACTAACAGTTGGAGTATTTCTTTTTTTTTTTCAGTACAGCAAGACTTTTAATGCTGTCCATTAGAGGAGCTGCAGCTCGAAGTACTTCACCACCGGCCTCACTAAACTATTTTAACAATCAATATGGCAAATATTTAAGAGGAACTATGGTAATCAAGCATGTGATTGTTGTTTTTCAGCTCAGCTTACAGTATAGGTTAGAAATTCTACCCTAGAGTTTGATATCAATAGAAACACCCCTAATTTTTCTGTGGATATCAGGAGGATGTGAGGAGTTAGCAAAGCTGTTATAGTTGATATTATATATTGAAAGTTGTTGTAATTAGTATAGTAGTACTGTCTAAAATAAACTAAAGATGTGGGGCTGGAGCATCCCCTGCATGTAAAGCATGGTGTTCTTGAAAAGACCATGCATGCTCAGCAAACTCTCCCAGTGTAATGATAATATGGAGTCTCTGAGCCCCAGTGCTGGCCCCAGGGAACACCTTCAGGATCACAGACAGTGCCCATTGTAGGCCACGGGGGATGATAACTGATGCTATTTATTACCTCGAGGATTCTCTGATTACTCTGTTGGCATTCCCTACTGTCCAATGTCCTACTTTCAGTTCATGTGAAGCAAAATGGGATCAGACGGGCCTCAGTCTACAAGACTCCCAACTACCTTCACTCCATGGAATGCTCATGGCATATAGTGCAATGTTCTCCAAGTGAGGTCTAAGGGAAAATACTGCATAAACTTTAACCTTCACTATTACATTTGTGGAATTGCAGATGTATGGTTAAAGAAGTAAGAAGAATATGTGGCTCTAAGAGTGTTTAACTTTGTATTTGTAAATTTTACCTATATGGGATTGTCTGTGGGTTCCATAATGGCCCTAAAGCACTTGCCCACATGGGCTTTATGCAGGATTACACTGGGTGTTAGGTGTTAACTCGGCAACCAACTACCTTCACCCTAGTTGCCCATTCTGCAACAAACCAGTAAAATATAATGTCATGTATTGTATGAAAATTAACTATATCAAAAAATAAGTTGAGATGATTTCCCAACACTAGCAATAAACTAAAACTATTTGACATTGAAAGCAGTAGAACGACTTGATCGAGCAATAACATTTCAGAGATAAAGGTCCTGATTATTTGTCTAATACAGCAGCATCAGGAGCAATTTGGGGTTCAGTATCTTGCTCAAGTATACTTCGACTAGCAGCCGGAGGAGCCGGGGTTCGAACGAACAACCTTTCAATTAGTGGACGACCTGCTCTACCTCTGAGCCACAGCTGTCCCACATTAGTGTGCTCATAGAAGCTCAGACATATTTTACCCATGATCATATGATAAGTGCAAGGACAGAAGGACATTCCAGATTATGTGGAGCTTAAGTAGGTGAATCAATTGGAGGCATCACTATGATGAGTTACTACTTAGTTTCTGGCAGGGATATTTAAATGCGTGTATGTGCAAATTAAACCAAAGTCAGGTGAGAGGTGATAATTCAAATACAGCTCTGGTCAACAGGGGGCTAAGTATCACACTCACACATGAAGATACCCACACATCTGTCCCTAAAGAAGTGTGAAACTCCTGTTTCAGACTAGACACTGATTTAGACACTAGACACTTCGTTTTAACGAAGGTCACAAACTGCCAAACCAACAGCTGGGAGAAAAACCTGAAGAAAAATGGGACTGATTGGAACTGCTTTCTTGTACGATTTGTCACTGTACATTTTTTTAATACATCCAAAGAGAAGAGAATTTAAATTTTTTTGTTACATATAAATGTAATATTTTTTTTTAGATCAACTAGATATTTCATCTGGTTAAATGTATGAAGAAAATGCCATTACAGTTACTGCATGCCAGTTTCCGTGGATAAGATGTATATTTTTCTGTCTTGTCTTTGTAGTCAATTTATAATCCTCAAATGACTACAAGGTCACAGTGTTACGCTGTGGTCTGATTAATGCTTAAGGTTCCACCACTAAACTTTTTTATACTAACACTGAATCATACGGAAGGGTGAAAAACTCGCTCAAAGTGACAAACTCACAGAACTATAGTTTTTAGTTTTTAGCTCACAGTTTTGTTTTTCTGGCCTGTTTAGATTGTATGGTTGAGTTTCATGGCTCTCACCACCCAAGCTGTCAAATACTGACACTTTGTCACGGCCCCTCAGCGTCTCATACAGACACACAAGGCACCCTTTTAAGCATAGGCGGCGCTTTTAAGAGGCTAGGGGAAGCTTAGCTTCCCCAAAATTTTCAAAGAAAAAAAAATCCCCAAATAAAATCATGATTTTTATTTTATGTTTCAAATTTTATTTTAAGATGAGCTTAGAAAGACATAAAAACGCACACTTTCAAGGTATTATTTATTTATTTAT